ATATGATATCCAAGAATTGGATCGAGTGAAAAAATGAAATCTTTTGTTGAAAATTGACATTGTGTTCCATAATAACAATCATTACACATACAAATAAATGATGTTGGACAGGTTTCATTGTCGAGAAAACATCTACCATCATTATAACAAAGATTTTTTCCGCTACAATCATTTTTTATCGTACGGTTAAATTGAAAACAATTTGAATAACGATCACTATCACATATACACATGTAATATTCATCATAAAAGCACATCAATTCTAGATTTTGACGACATAAAAGTGGATAATATTTTACTTGTCGTATATGTTCAAACTGACGAAAAGTGTTATTAAAAAGATGAAAAACTTGATAACAACGATTCTTTAGTAATACTTGAGTATAAATATATTCTGATGGTATAAATTTTTCTCTTAAAACAATTAGATAATAATCACCATCAGGTATTTGTATAAAAATCATGTTAAATGGTTGTCGTACATAAATAGTCATAGTATTGTAACCGAAAGCAATCTTTTTTAGTGTAGTCATTCGTTCAAAGTTTTTATATTTATCAAATACTATTATGTAATGTAGAATAAATGATGAACTTATTGTTAAAATTGTCTCATCTATACGAATATCAATTTGATTACTTTTATATTGACAACGTTCATCTTGATAGCCTTCTTTACAAATACAGATAAATCCATGTAAATTAATATGAACATCAATTGCTATACAAAGTCCATTGTGTTGACATGGATTGTTCATTGATTGACATATTGATCTTTTCAAATAACAACGTGAGCCAAACTTATTCAAGGAACATACACAAATAGATGGAGCAAGACAGAATGAGTCTTTTGAACATTGACATTGATGTGTTATATTACAGAAAGTACCAGAATATCTTTGATCACATCGACAGAAAACTGAATTGTTCATATTTGTATATCTCATACATTGACCATGCTCTCCACATGATAGTGTACATAGTTTATTTTCTCGTACTTCAGGAATGTTTAGCTGAGTCGATATTCGATTAACAGGAAGAAACTGAAATGGAATTGGTAAATACCAACTTGTCCAATAATCCAATGTTAGTTTGTCAAAAATATCAATACGAATAGAATAATTTCTTGATGAATATTTAGGGCGATGTGGATAAAGTAGATAGATATTAAATTTTTTATTACAATCATGAGCAGGCATATATGTTATTTCTTCATAATTGGGTGCAATGTTTCCTTGTTCATCAATGAGCATTATGATAAATTGAAAAATAATTGAAGGAACAATAGTACTTTGTGTTCGAAACTGTAAAGTCAAACTTACACGTTGACTCTGCCATTGACATTGAGAACCAAAATAATTTGGTGGACAAAGACATGTTTTTGTTTGATTAACACCTTTGAATAGAGTGAGAAGACCATAATGACAGTACCAAGCAAGTTCAATATCTATCTTTGATATATCACTTTTCTGTTCATATTTGTCGAAAAACTTTTGAACAGAACTGTTAGATGTTTTGGATGGAAAATAGCCAAGCCGAGAAGGATCCAAGAAGCGAAACTTGGAAAAAAGTTGTAAGTTTATGATATCTTCAAATTGACATAAGTATGTTTTATCATTATCGGTTTTGTAGATTTGACTATGCCTAGAGAGTTCTATATTTAGGCTCTGAGTACTAATGCATACATCTTTTTGTACATTTGCTCTTTCTGAAGAACAATTATAAATATTATCTGTAGTTATACATTTGGATTCGTTAAATGAGTAATAAGATCTGTTAATAGCGCTTGTTCCATTATCGAAATAGAGTTCTTTAATAAATTCGTGTTTATTCGGACAATGACTTGCTCGCTTAAAAAACATGTGAGCGAATGGTAAACAATAAGTTAAATTCAATTTCTTATTCAGACATCGAAATTCGTTTGATGAGCAATTTATATGTGGACAATTCAGTTCATCGATACCGTTCAGACAATCCCAAGCTCCATTACATTGTGAGTATGGATTATGACATGGCCACCATTCACAGTTTGTTTCATCGGTTTCATTTACATTGTCGTTTGGAAAACCATCACATATGTGTGAAAACGGTATTTGTGGCAGGATACCATATATATTCTTATTGGTCTCATCCTCTCCTTCTGAACAATCCCAAAATCCATTACCAATCGCTACAGACAACAAGCACTTGGTTGGATCCGATGTACAATTAAATCGACTTGAGATATTCAGATGACATGTAGGAAATAATTCATCTTCATTATGATAACAATCACTGAATCCATCGCCAACACGATTATATGAAATGCATTTTAAAGATTTATAACAATGAAAATAAGATGAATCTGCACATGACGTTTCATTACCAGTAGTTGAACATTCATGAGAGAGTTCCTTAAACTCTGAATCAAACTTACGAAAATATTTTCTCGGATATTCTGCAATCAGATCAAAAGGTCGGCAACATATAAGACCATCGATTATTTTTATTGGAACTATTCTAGATAATAATACAGGACATTTTTGTGCATCAAAACATATGAAGTTAGGTACGATATTAATTTTAAATTCATTGATTGATCGATTATTCAAATAGACAAATTGAAAATATCCATACATAATAGGATATTCAGGTAAAGTTAGCCATTTATTCAAACAATAATTGGCGAGAAGTTCACCGTCTTTATCCCAAGTAGCATCAATATCTTCATCCATTATACCAGGCAGAAAATATGAAGCTAAACAAACAGAAAATTACATAACCAGCGTTATAATTAGAGCAAATAGGAAAATATCAAGATATATAATATTGAAAAAAAGCAAAACAATAACTATGATTGACATTTTAACAAAAAACACATGGGTGAAAGCATTTGTTAGTAGCATGACATCTCGAAAATAAAACATATATATCTCGGAATCGTCAACTTTTTCAAAGCTACTCTTTTATGTTCAATGTATGTTGTGTTATCCTAGATATTCTGAAAAAATTAGTGGAAGTGTGGGTTGTCTTTTTACTCAAACGTCATCCACACCCATACCTCGAATATTTCTTTTCAAGACATTGTGTTGCCATTTCTTTTGCTACAAATTCTTGCTCCTATCGTCTCTATTATTTTTTCATGCTAATATTGAATTAATTAGTGTACCAATTATGTACAATGACGAATTAGAATCGATTGAAAGTGTCATTTCGATATATACTAAACAATTTAAGAATATGATTTATTGATGGAAAGTTATTCTCGATCGATGAAAAAAAAACTATCATTGTAAAATGACGAGAAATTTCAATGTTCGATGTCTTATGAAAAATCTAGATGAGCACCGAGTCAAGTTCACTCTTTTTGACTTATTAGATAAGTAACAACTTAATGTTAGACTGAAAAATTGATGTTATTCAGTTGTGCCTTTGATATGTCTTTTCTAAAGTAAGTTTGTCAAAAATACAGTTGATTCAAAATTGCAACTGTTTCATAATCCTTCTGACTTTATCTACATAATCAAATATAATTCTGTTCAAAGTCTTTGAGAGAGTTTGTATTTTTTTCAAAATAGATTATTGACGATAGAGATGAAAGTAGTCTACCAGTTTTATAACTACTGCCCATTCCAAAAAAGAAGGCGGATGGGTATTTTTTGAATAACTTTTGATACAAACAAGACAGAGAGCTGCGGTTTTCACCTTTGGAAAGAGGCTGATTCAGCACGTCGATTCATATAAAATTGTTAAGGTTTATCTCAAAAATAGGAGTGATCCATTGTCATCTTAAAAGAGTAGACTATTGTTCTATGAAAGTAGAACAAATCTTAAACTTTGAGGATTGCGCTAGAATCGCCAGCTCAAGAGCTACAAAACCATATATAACGCTTGATTCAAAGCTTTACTAGTTTGGGAGTTCTAGGTACGATATTCAACAATTCTAGTTCACTTTGCCAGCAATTTCTGTAAAAAAAAACTCAGTTTTTTTGAGTTGTTTTCGTTTTTCCTGAAAAATCAGACCTGTTTTTAAGACATTTCTTTGTTCAACTATTGCAAAAGGTTTCAAAAATCCAAATTAAAAGTCATTGTATTATATGGTTCGATGTGTTTTCATCTGCTCTTTCCAACAGTGAAAATCGCAGCTCTCTATCTTGTTCCTATCAAAAGTTATTCAAAAAATACGCATCTGCCTTCTTTTTTGGAATGGACAGTCGTATCGATATTCAGTGAGTAGATCAGAATGAATCGATCAACTGCCAATACTAGTTCTATTTATGTATAGCATTATCTTGTTGTACAATTTTGCAACAAAATTTCACTATACATGTTATACGAAATAGATGTCAACTGTTTAATATGTTTCCGACTTTATACGAAAAATGTTCAGTTAGATAACATTAATCACTTGGTTCCACATATATTTTTGAATTATTTATGTCGACAAAATAAAAGAAATAAAAACTTAACAAAAATGGTCATGGTTTGTATAAACAATGTCATACTCGAAAGACCAATAGAAGTCATGAATAAGTTTATATAGCAAAAGCAGAAAAGTTAACGGGATAGATTGATCTACAACCGAGCTATAAGTAATAATTAATCTAACAGTAAATCAACTGATTTCTGATACCGATTCTATCTTTAATTGATGTTAACCATTCAATGTTATCTAGCGTGTTTCAGCTAGCAGGAATGTACAAATATGACTTTGTCTAGGATGATCGTTACTGAAGTCTATTTTATGGGGAAAAGTCTTACTAAAGCCATAATGCACAGATGGAACGTAATGTGTCAAATGGATTCATTGAACTTTTTTGTTCTCACTCAACTTAAGTCAAATATAAAAACTGTTAGTGTAATTCCTGTGGGATTGAAATGCGAAATACAATGTAACTATTCTTGCTAGTCACAGGAAGATTACTTTAGTCTATTTATTTTGGAACATATTTCATCATGTCTTTATTTAGTCCTTCAAATAATGCAATATGGAGGGTGTGGGTGAGTGTGAACATTTGCTGCAACACAACAATACTCACACCCACACTCATACCCAAATCTTATTGATATACGGTGTGTCAGGAGTTGCCAGAGTGTCTTAGTTCAATAAAGTTTTATTCAGATTTCAGTTTGATGTATGATTTCATTACACAGCTACACTCTTTTGCTTGCTAAAATTGCGTAAAGTGACCTTATATGCTTCATAGTTGTAACTATCTAGATATACTTTTCGTATGCCAAAAGATAGTTTAATGCAAAAACTAGAATGTTCATTTTCTAGTATACGTTACATTATAGATCTTTACAGAAGCAATGCAATTGGATATTTTCCAAGTTAAAAAAGACAGTAGTGGTGTGAAGAGAACTATACAAGAAAAGATATTTTCAAACATCGATGTAGAATACAGTTCAATGCGATCACCTTCGGCTGACTTCAATATAAACATCAAGTGTTGAGACAAACCGATAAATTTATAAATAGCTAAAAACTATGTGCTGCATATCGAACATGAGTATAGGCTCATATAAACTCGTATTGCATTGTAATTCCTTCTAGTAGTAATATTTTCCAATGTTTTTCACTATTGAAGACATTACAATCGCGACAATTATTGACCAATATGAGAGCTGTATACTATCATTGGAAACTCTCAAGCTCATACTGAGTTTTCAAACGCTAGACAAATTCACTTTTGAAGTTGAAAGTTAAAACATTATCTATATATATAATGCTCAGTGTCTGTCTGTGTGTTTGTCTGTCTGTCTGTGCCGGGTCAAAGGTTAAAGGTCACATAAGCCTATAAGGGGAAGATCTCCGGGGGCTATTTATGGGGTACTTATAGGTCCTCAAGGGATATGCTATGGGGTACTTATGGGTCCTCAAGGGCTATCCTATGGGGGACCCATTGGTCCTCAAGCGTTATCCTATGGGCGACCCATAGGTCCTCAAGGGTTATCCTATGGGGGTACCCATAGGTCCTCAAGGGCCATCCTATGGGGGTACTCATACGTCCTCAAGGGCTATCCTATGGGGGTACCCATAGGTCCTCAAGGGCCATCCTATGGGGGTACCCATAGATCCCCAAGGGCTATTATGTGGGGTACCCATAGGTCTACAAGGCCTACCTATGGGGGTACCCATAGGTCCTCAAGGGCTATCCTATGAGAGTACTCATAGGTGCTCAAGGGCTATCCTATGGGGGCACCCATAGGTCCTCAATGGTTATCCTATGGGGATACCCATAGGTCCACAAGTGCTATCCTGTGGGAGTACCGATAGGTTCTCAAGGGCTATCCTATGGAGATATGTGCCAATAGGCATATTATCTTATATGATATTTTCTCTTGCTCAGTGTGCTCTTGTAAAATCAATGATATGTTGCGTTCTTAATCGCGTTACTCTTACGTTTATCTCTTTATGATTGAACGTTGTTCCTGTCTGTCGT